TTTGACGATTATTTTCAGAGCGTTGTGAATTTGAAAATACAATGCTTTCAATTCAAGTTCCGTAGAGGCCAAATTTTTTACTGTATTAGACAAATGATGACGTTTTCTGAAACTACATGAATGTAGAAACGCATCGGTGTTCTTAGAATTGATTAATTTTTTGCAGTTTTTGAGATATGTTGGTTTGTATTTAGTGTTAAAAAATGCAGTTTTGTCGATCCATGGATCGAAGAAATTATCCTATTTTCGTCCTGTCACGGATTTTTCTGATAACCACTTCCTAGCACGAAATTGTATGGCGATTTTTCTGGTGAAATTCATTTTTCGATTAGAAGCTTTGTTTTTCAGGAATTTGCATTGGTATCACAATAAACGTCAATTTCCTTAACTTTTCCGTATAGACAATTGCCATTAGAGTGGGTGATGATTAAATGCGAAAGTCCATTTAAGACTCAAATGTAAGACATGAGTACATATAATCTGGTGTGCGAATTTCAGCTCTGTAGCTTGAATAGTTTAGGAGATAGAGCTATTTGAAATTAACCATTATTTTCAGAGATTCAACGATGCGATAGTACAAGTCTTTCAAATTATGGTTCTTACACTCCAATATCTCATCCGTATGTGACAAACGACAACATTTTCTAAAACTACAAGTATTTAAAAACACATCCGTTTATCTAGAATCGATTTATATTACATAGTTTGTGAAATATGCTGGTTTCATTTTTGTGTTAAAAAATGTAAAGTTTCGTCGATTCATGGATCGACGAAATTTTCCGATTTTCGACATGTCACGGAATTTTCTGAAAACCACGGACTTAGCACGAAATTTTATGAGAAATTCACTGGTGATACGCGTTTTCGATTAGAAGCTTAGTTTTTTAGAAAATCGCAAAAGTATCGCGATAAACGTCAATATCTTCTAAATAGCAGTGTAGAAAATTACTTATTCAAGCAAGTTCTGATTTCAGGAGAAACTCCATTTAAAATTCACATTAAAGAGCGAAGTATATAAAATCTCGTTCTACAATTTAAGCACTGTAGCTTGAGTAGTTTAGGAGATAGAGTCATTTGAAATTGACTATAATTTTCAGGGTTTGCAAGATGCGAAAATACAAGGCTTTCAAATTAAGGTCCTTAGAGGCCACATTTCTCATCCGTACATGACAAACGACGACATTTTCTAAAACTACAAGAATTTAGAACCACATCCGTTTCTCTAGAATCAATTATGTTACATAGATTTTGAAATATGCTGGTTTCATTTTTGTGTTAAAAGATGTAAATTTTCCCATTTTTTACATGTCACGGATTTTTCTGAAAACCACGGTCCTAGCCCGAAATTGTATGAGGAATTCTCTGGTGATACCCATTTTTCGATTAGAAGCTTAGTTTTTTTAAAAAATCGCAAAAGTTTCGCGATAAACGTCAATATCTTCCAAATAGCGCTGTAGAAAATTAGAAAAAAATGTTTGTAACAAATAATGTACTTCAGCTTCCGGCTTAAGTACCTCCATCTCGATCATGTTTTTGTTTTTTCTTTGATCCATTGAGCAAATGCAGAGATTTCGTTTTTTTTTTGCTTGTGGGTGTAAATGTATCTTCACTATGATCACGTTTTGTTGAACTCTCCTTTTACTTGTAAGGGTAGGAGTACAGGTAAGGACGAATTACTATTTTGTTAGCAATGCAGAAAAATCATTAATGCAATTCGTTTACCGATGTAAATAAGTTTTCTATAATTTGGAAACAAAACTATTATTTTCAAATACTGCTTATCTTGCGATTTTTTAAAACCTAATTTTATATATTTTCAACTTTTGCTCATCTTTAAACTATTTTTAGTTAAAATGACGAGAAGGGGTTTTGGAACTCATGGAAACGTGCGCAGATAATCTTATATCTACGTCACATGGTTTTTACTGTTTTTTTGACTAAATAAATCTAAGAGGAACTTATGTAAATCTGCGGCAAAAAGAGTTTTTTTTAACAAAAATCGTTTTGTGGCATCTTAATAGGCGTAAAGAGTATTGTTTTTATTCCTGTACGTGGTAAATTACTTTCTCTAAAACATAATGCAGCCAGAACCCAACTTTTTGTGGCTTCTTAATACCATTTATTTTTCATCCTTCCATCCATCCATCTTTGAACAATACTAGCTCCTAACAATATTTGTAGGATTTTTGCCAAAATAAATATTTCAAAATTGATTTGGTCAGTCTTGAAGTCTAGCGGTTTTGAAAAGAATTCTTTAAATTTTGGAAGTACTTCACATGAAGTCCCTGGGATTTGTTTGTACGGCTAGTACTAAATGCACCGAATAACATGATAAAACACCAACACCATTTTGATGTATTCTTTTGATTTTTCAAAAATTTCACAAAAGTATATATCTCCCACAAAATTTGCATTACAATGTATTGCATTGTTTAACACGTTATTTAGCACAAAAGCTTCAACGTATCTTAAATGACGGTTTTTCAAATATCCATAAGTTTTTGTAATAATTTTCTTGTATCTTACTGTTGTATTTTATTAGTTTTATTTCATATTTGTACTTTTACTGTTAACAAATTGGGATATTCTAGTTTTATTTTTCATTATTATGTTATGTTTTTATGTCATTTTGGTATTTTGTTGTTTTAGTATTTAAGAATTCAAACTTGTATTTTTTCTTTCAATATTGAAAGCTTCTATGTATAAATTTTTTAGTATAAGGGTTTTAAGAATAAAAAAGTCTTCGGTGTTAAAAATACAACACCGGAACTATTAATATAATATCAAGTCCAACACAAAAGTTTTGGCGGTTGTCCCATTTGCTAAAAGTTGCCATTGCAAAATTACAAATTTGAAGATAGAGAAGTTTGTCTTAAATCGAATTTGTTCTTCAATTTTTTTCCTCGGATACCACAAAAGAACGCTTAAAGAAAACTGCAGGTCTCAAGTTCATTGTATTTTCTGAATTTTCTAAAATTGGAAAAGATAGAAATAATGAAAGAAAAGTGTGTGTTAAAATACCACTAGTTTCTTTTTTTATTACTTACGTTGCGTAGAGAAAGCATTGTAATGCTGCTGCAAAAACTGTGATTTTCGACAGAAATCTCCTATTTGGAGGCCCGGCCCTGATATTGAAAAGTGAATAAATCTTATTACAAATATAGTCAATTTCTTCTTCTAACACGTTATGTAGTTAAAACTACGTTTTATAACTCCATGATGCTGAAACATTGGTTTACGAAAAAACGTCTGTAAACAACACCAGCGGCTAAAACATCAGAATTTTCGTCAAAAATGTGATTTCCTGATCGATTGATCGATCTTTCGGATGTCGAAACCTCTAGAATTTGAAATGGTTATTGTAATATTTAGAGATACTACTACTGAAGCTTCAACAATATCAAAAAATTGTCTCAAAACAAAAGACGCTTAAAAAATAAGGTGTCTCATTCTCGTTAAATTCTTATAATTTTCGAAAATTTTAAAAGTTCAATTTTTTCAACGTCTTCCTACAACTACTATATTGAAGATGGAGATTTTTAAATGAAATGTGATCTTCAAAGTTGTCTTTAAATAGTCAAGTACAAATTTTCGAAAATCTGAGATGTTTTCGGACTTTGTGCGTGAAATATTGACAATGTTTAAACAATAATTCCGACAATTGTTTTTTGCGTAAAATAGATAATATTTAAACAGTTTCGACAAAAACTGTTCCAAATGTTTTCTTTGTTTTTCTCGAATGTGGCGTAGTAAACTCGTCGTAGTTCCCATTTTCGACGAACTTTGCATTTTTGAAAATTGCAAAATTTTAAAACTGCAAAACCACAATATTGATGATAGAGGGTGTCTTCTTCATGAAATCTGTTCTTCAAAATTAGATTTTTTAATATGGACATGTTCATTTTTTTTAAATATGAGTGGTTGTGTAATTTTTCTTTTCACTATTTTGGTATTTCAAGTTCACATTTTTTGAACTTGAAATACCAAACCTGTGCTGCACCACTGTTTAAGCTAGAGATTTCATTATTAATATTATATATATTTATCTATATTAGATTTTTAAATCAGTTTATCCCGCATTACTTTCAAAATATTAGTGTTTTTTGTGTAATTTTAAGAAGTATTGTGGCAAAGTTCATTTTCCTAAGCAGTAGATGAGCATAGAGATACTTTCGTAAATGCAGTCTATTATATTAATTTATTAATGAATCATTGAATGAATGAAAATTGATAAATTATCTAAATTTATTTCTTATCCACTTTTTACTGTCCCGTACACGTATATATGGAAAAATTTACGTAGTATAGGGAAAGTTTTGTAATGCTGCGGAAAATACATTTCGAGAAATACACGTTTTGGGGTCCCCCGATTCCGAAAAAGCATTGTTTTTCCCCGAAACGTCTGTGAGTCCAACCGTCGGTCTGGTGTATGTGAACAACAATAGCACCTAAACTACGCGTGCGAATTTGTCCATACTGAATGTATGGTATACCCTGTTGAGCTGGCCTGAGCCAAAGCTCTGCGTTATTGAAAAACATTGTTTTCAAAAATTACAGAAATTTAGTTTTATTGTCTGTCATGCTGTGAATATTTACCCTAGCGGCGATTTGTACACATTATTATATTTATGAGAATTTGTGCTTTTAATAATGTTATATAAAGTTTCTCGAAAACTCAACGGTTTTGTCAAAACTAGCTCGAAATTCGCATTTCTCGAAAAGTTGAAACGCTATTTTCTCATAAACGGCTCCTAACTTTTTCTTCAAGCCTTTCGAATCACGAAGTGCCAATCACGCTTTTTAATATAACGTAAAGTTCATTTCCAGGACTTTTTTAATTGCACAAATGACTTTTTTCATGTTGTGACTAGGAAAATATCGTGTTTTTCGTGTCAAAAGAGCAGTTTTGAAGACTTTAATTGTATTATAGTAGTAATAAATAATAATATTATTATATCGTTTTGGTACGGTTTGCGTTTGCTTGCCAGTTTACAGTATTGCAGGGTTCTCGAGTCTCCCGCATAGGATTTTATTTTTAGCCGCCGTTACGCCTGATAGTACTCTGCTTCGACGTAACTACGATTTACTGTTACAAATACGTGCTTTCCGCGGCTGTGTTTGAATGTGAAGACGGGCCGACCTTCTCGTGCTTACATCACATTCGAGTTCCTTTGTACTCCGTGGTAAGCTCATTATGTGTCGCCCCAGATAAGGTTGTTTTTTTCCCGTCTGATGAATGCATTGAAATTCAACACTTACATACTACATTACCACGCCAGATAGCCTCTTCGCGAGAACAAAAAATTCTCGAAATGGACTTGAAAGTTCAGACAGGTACGAAGTTTATTACTATAAAGAAACGTGTAAATCTTTTACATAGAATAAATCTGTGTTGATTTGACGCAAATTAACGATTTACTGTTGTTTCTGTTTTCTTAAAAACAAAGTACTGGGACCGATTCCTCCAGAATCATTGGGAAGAACATTAACACACGAGCATTTTTCTCTCAACTTTGATAAATTCTATGTCGCACCTCCGAAGAGTATTGAAAATGTGTTTGACAATACTATTCACCTGGAAAACGTTGGCTACGTTCGCCAGTATCCGTACGTATAGGAGCAATAATGTAATTTGTAGGTAAAAAATTACACGCAAAATAAAAGTTACACGTTGTCTCGAAGATAAAATTATATTCCTAATATAACAGATCAATAGTTTTAGAAAAGTAAAATGAAACGATTATGAACTTTATTAACTTCGTAATCTGAAATTTAAAAAAAGAACATTAGTTTAAGGTTATGATGTTTGCTTTCAGGTACAGTAGCAAATATAACATAGAATTCTGCGATAGAGATACACATAATGCAATAAACAAAGAAGTTTTGACGTACAAAAATGCTGGTGGGGGCACCATTGTCGAGAACACTTCCCATGGATTGGGTAGAAATGTTCAATTAATGAAAAATGTATCAGAAGCATCTGGAGTCAATGTAGTTGCTGGAACAGGTACCTGAAATACAAAATTTGCAGAAAAGATGGGTTCAGTTTGAAAAAAAAAATCAAATATTTTTTTCTGTTTATCAGGTCACTATGTTGCTCTTGTTCAGCCTCAAAGTGTTCTCCAAAAATCCCAGCAAGATTTATATGAGACAATACTGAAAGAATTAACTGAAGGTTGCATTGATAATTTGAATATCAAATGTGGATTTATTGGAGAGGTTGGGAGTGCTTGGCCTCTTCATGGTCTGATTTTTTTATTTCTTTTTGAATATGAACACTTTTATTTGAAATAAATGTCACTTACCATCAATCTGAAATGCCTAGAATTTGAGATCCGAGCCATTCGAGCAACCGCTGCAGTACAGGAGCATTTGAGATGTCCTGTTAGTTTTCACCCTGGAAGACATCCCAAGGCTCCATTTGAAATCATGCGTTTGTTTCTAGAAGCAGGTGGAAAGTCTTCAAAAACTGTAATGTCACACTTGGACAGTAAGTTCCATTATAAAATTCAATATCTAAGTTTTTATTATAATATTAGTGAATAAAAATTAAATAGCCCACCTTACATTGTAGCAGAGCATTGACCTCCTCTTTAAGAATTAGATTGGATGAAAGTTGACTCTCTCTAAAATTCCAAGAATCATTGATTTTTCGTAAGTTTTGCATAAGTTGAATTAACTTTCATTATTAATGCAAATATACCATCGATAAAGCTGAATGTTACAGGTAATGTGATCCTTTTACAAAGATTTTTCAAATGTGCTTGAGCAGAATGTAACTATCAATACTAAATGAAGAAAAGCAAATCCAAATAAAAATTGAGCTGTGATATCACTGTTGCATGAGAGTGTTTTGATAGAAAAGATAAAAACTCAAACAATATGATATTTCAACCCATTTTCCTTTTTAAATAAATTGATATTCATTTTGCTCGCAGTTCAAGTATTTAATGGTGTTCCTTACTTATTGTTCATGTATTTTATCATATTCTTTTGCACATTTATTGGTGTGTGGAGGCATCAAAGTTTAGAATCTGACAAACATTTTAAATTTATCTGTTTAAAAAATTCCTTTGAAATAGCTCTTTCTTTTGAGTTTGATCTGAGTGATTTATTAATTTTAGGGAATTAAATTGATTTAATGGAAAATGGTTACTATAGATCCAGAAGTAATGGTTAGACGCACATATATTGATAGAATGAATAAGTGAATTCATTGAAGTAGTATCTTATGATCCTATTAAGCTATATAAAATGTTTCTTTCAAAACTTTTTGTTTGAAGGAACGTTAGTTCAAGATGGTGATCTGCTGGACTTTGCAAAGTTGGGTACATACTGCCAGTTTGACTTGTTCGGAACAGAATGTTCCCATTACCAGATTGATCCTGCAACTGATATGCCATCTGATGCTCAAAGAATAAGTAAAGTGAAATTGCTTCTGGAAAACAATCATTTGCAACAAATTCTTATTTCTCATGATGTCCACACTAAACATCGTCTAGTAAGTGTCGTGCAAAGCAGTACCTTCATTATAAATTCCTTTTTTGCCTACTTATTTTATTAATTCATCTTACTTTGCAGATTAAATACGGAGGTCATGGGTATTCTCACATTTTAACTAATATTTTACCAAAAATGTTGACAAGAGGCTTTTCGCAAGAGATGTTAGATCAAATAACAATTAAAAATCCTGCAAGTTGGTTAGCATGGAAAGCAGAGTGAACTGCACCTTTTCAAAAAGTTTTCTCAACATCAGATCTGTAAGCTTCTTTGTAGGCATATCGAATTTTTCATAATTATTAAAGTAATATACAGTACTTAGTCAGGGAATGATCATACAGTAATATTTTTAAATATTTTTTGCTCATAAATTCACTATTTCCTATTTTTATACAGAATATTTTTATTATTTTCAACATGTTTATGCTATACAGAGACTTCAATATTTTTAATATATTGGGAAGTAACCTAAGGTAATATTTTATCTACGTCATCTATGAATTGTAAAATCAATTTTCCATTATGAAATAAACAATTATCTTTAAAGGTGTTTTCTTGATTTATTCGCTAATATTTTGATTGCAAATAAAATTGACAAATTAATAATATACACAGCAATAAGACAAATTTCAAAATATACAATCACGGCATGTGGTACCCAGGAATCTTCAGTCAGAAACTAAACAGACATGGACTACTCATTTGTAAGCTTCCAAAAGGTGAAATATGATTCGAAATTATAATGATTTCAAAACACAGAAATGTGTTTTGGAATCATTATAATTAATTTAATATTCTTGCTTCCAACTTGTATAACTCCAGTTTAAAAAGTATAAATAAGCAAGTTCATATATTTTAATACTATATAAAACAAATTATATTTGTATGTACTAAATACATCATATTTTAGTTCTTGATGATATGATGTTAAAATCATCTTTATTATCTTTGATATGTTTATCTTGACATAAATAAATAACATGCCTGTTATTATTAAAAAATATAAAAAGTCTTAAACTTTCTAAGGTATACAAATACAAACTTAAAAAATAAACATAGTACATAACATAATTTGCATCATGTTATTGCCATTTAACTATACCACATCATCCAGGATATGTTTGCCCTTTTACTGCATTCTGAGTGGGGAGTTTGATTTTTTAAAGACATTTGAAAACAATATGCTTGGCATTGGATACATTTATCTAGTAGAACTTTTATTTGAACTTTGGTATAGTTCAACTTCTATTCATTTCATTTGGTACTCTTAAAGTTCAGTTCATATACTTACAGAGTATTTTTTATTTTCAAAGAATGCAAAACCTTGCCTAATCCATAACAGCTTCATGAAAAATATATAATGAAATGGAGTTTCCATTGTGGTTTTGAAATCCTTTAAAAACAAAATAGAATGTCTCAGCTTCCTTATCTAGCCATTATTTTCTACATGACTAATACAAAGAAAGACACAGGATGTGTGATCTTTTAAAAACCCAATTATGAACTTTCCAAAGTTTCTTTGTTATTCTTTCTAAACTAATAAATAGCTCACTTTTTAAATGACAGAAAGCAAGTCTGAGCAGTACCGAAATTTACAATTTCAAGAAAAGAAAATGTCATTTTAAAACTAATAGTGAATGGAAATTTGGATATAAATAACCACAAAGAATAATTTATTTTCTATTCCAAAGGAATAACCTCATTTGCATCTTAAATTCAGTTGCTGGTAATTTTGGTGTGGTTGTTTACTCCAGGAGGATGTCTTCTTTTCTGACAGTCCTTTTATGTTTAATTTAATTTTTCAAGTCAGAAAACTTTTTAACAGGCACTTAAATGATTCATTAATATGATTAAGAAATTCAATATAGCACACACAAATTTCTTAAAATTTCCATTTAGTTAGTAGAAGATGTGTGATTTATATTTCGTGTTTGTTACTTAGATATTTTTTTGAAGGACTTTGTATTGTTCAATTGTAGTAGAACTTTTAATTAATGCTCAAATTTTGTGTGGCAGTTTAATATCTGAATACTTTAAAATGTTATCTCTCAGACTAATACATTATTTATTCAAGATAAAAATTTGTATAAGCTGATCATTTAGATTTGTATGATAAAGCATCACTTAATTTTTACTTATTTTCTGCTATCATTTTTTGTTTTTCCATTTTGGCTATTTGAACTGCTGACTGTCACCAAATATCTGAATGGCTGAAGGAGTTAAAAGAAAACACTCACATTGTGTAATAAATAATTCATATATCCTAGTCAATTATTTCTATTCTTTTTCCTACAATTTTAAAAGTGTGCTTGTTTGAGAAGTGATGAGTTTTCTTTTAACTTGTAAATACCTCTGAACTATTAAAAACTGAAAAACTAGTCAGTGAAAAAGTGAATTCATTGTGTAGTCTTACAATTGAAAAATAGTGTTTCACTTTCATAGAAAGTGAAATACTCAGCTTTGAATTTGGAAGCAGGTACCATAAATACTTGTATGACATTGTCATTCTTTTTTCTTTTTTTTGGTGTGTGTTGACCATAATTTTGTTGTGGGTATATTTTTAATATTATTGTTTATTAATAACTCTCAAAATCAGAAGCTGTTATAAATGAGTCATTGCTTTGCAAATTATTTCAAGTTGTCTGTTTTCTATCATAAGCATCTTAATGTCTGTCATGCTTTCTTAAACTATTTGTTTTTCACAAATATCCTCTTACTATTATGTTAGAAGTTGTTCTTTGATGCTGTTATCAGTGAGATGCAGCATCGCTGGAAGCTCCTTGGCCAATTTCTTGAGCCTTGGAGAGATAGGAGTACTCTCTTGCATTAGGCAAACCTGGTATAACACAGGCACTTAGAGCACTTCGATTGAGATTCATGGGAGAGGCATCATACCATTCATTAGTTTCGGCATCATAACATTCAACGTAAGCTATTGTTGTTGTTCCTGAAACAATAGGTCTACATGAACTTTTATGTGGCTTCATTTAAATCATTGCTGATTAAAATACAGATTTAATATAGTAAGTTTGCTATAAAAAACAAAAAGTACCTTAAACTATTGAAGCTAGAAATTTCTTTCTTAATGCAAATCTATTCCTCATTATTATATCTTAAAGTCATTTCATAAATACTTTTTTCAAAATTTTAGTAGTAGTTTTCACATAATTTTGAGTGAACTCATGATAAGTTTCCCACAAATACATAAATAATATTTTCTCAAAAGCAGTTCTACATCTTTTCTTTAAACGTTTAATAGAGGACGTTACACTGAATTGTTTGGTACAAGTGCCATATCAGTAAGACGTTTGGATTTTCGAAAATTAAAAGGTATTTATTTTTAATCTCCCATGATGATGATTGTTAATCCAGCACCTGATTGAAAGTGTGCCTGTGAAAGTGGAAGCTGTTATCAGAGCTAAGGGTGGGATAACACCCTATTGAATTCCAGCATTACCGATGGAGAGCGCCATGAACTGGTATGACATTTTCAGCCCATGTGTGCGGATACTTTTGATCACATACTATATGTGCTTTCAAAGGATTAATTTCGAACAAACATGTCTATTGTGTTCCTGACATAATATTTAAATAATAGAAACCAATAAATTCGTAAAGTTATTTTTCTGCATTCATATGGCAATATATATGATGACCTTCAATTTTGGATGTTTAATTTATTTACTTGTTTTATTGTAAATGATTTAACCACTAATTATGGTATTCAAAAATTGAAAATTACTTCTTTGTATTCGAGTCAAGCTTGTGTGAAATTGTCCTTGCTTGTGTGTAGTAAGCATTGCAAATACTGTAACAGTTGACATTTATTCATTTTTGTAGAAGTAGAGCTTGGTTTGGACATTTTCTAGTGATTTCTGAAGTGTTACAGGGGCAAAAATTGTATTATAACAATACGTATCCGATCTCAGTAATGCGAGAAAATATGTGCTGTTATAACACATCTAGTTAACTGAGTCTTGAGGTTTCGACTGCCATCCTGCGAAGTCCCAAAGTTGAGATCTACTACATAGTCAGTAGCGTAACGTTCGGGCCGGCAAGGCCTGCAATGCGGGCGGGCGGGCAGGCAGGCAGGCGTAAAAGAGGGCCTTTTTTTAGGGAGTACTTTTGTCATTAAAGGTACTAGCATTACTTGTGTTTGCTATACACTTTTATACAGAGGGCTGAATAAAAGTTTTGCAGGCGGTTACGCTACTGCTTACGTTGTGTCTACTCTGATTGACGCTAAATTACACGACACCGGAAGACAGCCAGATCTGAGGCACCGGAAGCAGCATGCAATGACCCAACTACTCGAAGGATACGAGAGGCATTGCACGAATGATGAGCGCCTTTAGCGGGAAATGACGCTGTAGAGCTTCCTTAGCCCTTTACGTTCGTCCAACATCTCTAGTCGAAAACGTTTAAAAGTTTGTAAAATAAAGCACATAAATCGAGAGGTTTGTGTTTATTTATTAAAATAACGAGTATCAATAAATGTGAATTGTGATAATTGTGCTCATTAGCCACATTAAATAGTTTGTTGTTTTTTTCTGGCACGAGTATCCCAGAATATTCCCCCCAGCCGGGGCTGGTGGCAGGGGTCTGTCAATACATGGAGGCGCGCGACTGTCGGCCCCAAGCTCCTGGAGCGTCAGGGCACGCGATAGAATAAACCTATGGTCGGTAGTAGGTCGTACCAAACTTGGCGAGCCGTCGGATGATTCAAGAAGTGTTTGGTAAGGATTCCAATGGCTCCAAATATCAGTCAGTGCTAAAACCCGTTCAGAGACGGCGACGTCTCCACTCCGCAAAAAAGGGAGAATGAGAGAACTAAAACTCCTAGCGATGCTCTCTGTGCTGTTTGATGGCAAAGAGGTTTCTATTCTGATGGATTAGTTTCCGAGCGCGTCAACCTCAATGGTCATAGTCTCGTCAGTGTAGTGCATGTGTTATAGGAGGATGTGACTATGTTCTTTCCCGGCTGAATGGCGATATCCGGCGGTGACCTACATGTTGGGGGTTTTCCTATCCAGGTATCTCCCACCAGAGGGGCACCGTCCCAGCCGGTGCAAGCTCTAATGGAATAAATCCAAATCAAATCAAATTACCTGACTACATCAAAATTTGTGTACTGTATGCCAAATTATTGATTAGTTTTCATAGAAATACTAAATCCTACTTATGAAATCGTGCCTGATAAGCAAATAAAATCGAAAAAATTGCTTTTACTGTTGTCTGCAATTTGGTCTGCTGGACATGTTACCATTAAATCCACCAATGACAAATATCATGTCATCCAGGACCACAGTAGCAAAGTTGCTTCGAGGACTGAACATTTCTGTCACTTCATGCCAATCCAACGATTGTGATGGATCATACTTCTCTCCTGAAACAATAAGGAATTCTCTATTTCATTTCTAATTTGTATTTTATTATCTTTTTGAGGAATAGCCCTATTTGAAATGTCTCTCCTCAAATGACTAATTGGAATATGTTCTTACCTGTATTCAAACGAGTGAAACCATTGAATCCTCCCAAGGCATACAAACAACCTTTGTATGCTACTAGGCTTACTCCTGAGCGAGCACTAGTCATTGGGTGAATATATGACCATTGATTTGATAGTGGATCAAACATTTCAGCAGAACTTAAAACCTCTTGACCATTGAACCCACCAACAATATATATCTGAAACATGTAATTACATGTACATCTTACTCTTGTTAATCAAAGAATTTGTGTAGCGTATGTATTTCGTTACAACAAATTTTCATTTATAGAGAGTTTTTTGGAGTGTAATGTAAAGTACCTTGTCATTCAATGCTGCTGCACTGGCATCAGAACGTTGTCTCTGCATAGAAGGAATGATTTCCCATTGATTGCTGTTAGGATTGTATCTTTCAGCAGAATTCATTCTTGTCCGGCCATTGTAACCTCCCATTGCATAGATCCTTCCTCCTGAAGCAGGCAGTAAGTTCATCAGAGGTGGTCTGAAACATAATACTTCACTATCGTTTTCATGTAAAGTGCCATCCATAAAAGGTTTTTGTGGGTTTATCCAAATTTAAATTGCAAGAAATCAGTTCAGTAAATTTATTAAAAATGAATTAGAATCAATTTCAACAGGCATAAATAAGAACATGTGGAACACCCTAAAAAAATTCCTCAAAACTGTTTAGGTAAGAACTCAATTGTTTGTTGACCATAAAATACATTTTAAAACAAATAGCATATTTATGGTATCTTTCTCATATCAAAAGCATATCTATTGCTACCACAAGCATTTTGAAATAATTTGATTAAATGAGTATAAAAGTAAATTTTCCAATTGCAAATTACATTTGAAATACATTGCACACCTACAGTAATAAGAATACAATTCAAAACAGTTTTGCAGGAGAGGAATTTTAAATCTTCCAATTATAATACAAAATCAGGCTTTGAAATAATTTCTTTCCTGGAAACTGGTTTGTACTATTTACCTTTTTATACCCTACTGAAGGCTTTGGTACCATTTTCAAAGAGTAACAACTCAAATCAACATTTTTTGACTTATGATCTTACCACTCTAGTTGTGCAATATAGTAACCAATCATTACTAAAACCTTGGGACATTCAATTTCATAAGCTTCTCAAACTTCTGGAAATTGTGAACCCTGAAGACTTATTACTTTCACATCTCAAAGTTTTCTTATAACAAATCAAAAAAATGCACTTCTCATACAAATATGCACTTATACCAAGATTTATAGGTAGCAAAGTTTCTCTCTGACAAATTGAATTTTTAGTAGTAGGAAAGATTTGAAATTGGGCCAAATAGAAAAGAAAAGTGCTTCTTTGCAATAAGCAATGTTTATTTTTACACATAATAAATTTTAATAATTAATATCATCATATTGTTCTGAAGGATCAAGGCCTGTTTCTGATTGAGCAGTAGGCCTGATAAAGTTATTAATATTCAAGGTGTTGCAGCATGATAGTAACTAATGTAATATAAAAGTAAATATTTTATATATTGGAACAAAATAGATGACATTATTTTACAGCATTTGAAAACATACCTAAGGTACAGACACTCACGTAACACCTGGCATGGTACATGCAGGCACGTTCTTTCCATTTTCGAGTAATTGGATTGAAACAGCGAACTGAGTTGAAGTGTTCATTTCCATCAAAACCACCAATCATGTATATGAGACTATCCAGTGCACATAGACCATGATATGCTCTAGGTGTCACATCTGTGTTCACAGAGAGGAACCATCTGTCAGCCCTACAATTTGGAAACAACAAAATGTGAAAAATGATAATGACATTCTTTGAGAAAACATTCCAAGAAGATAAGTTAAATATTACAAGTTAATATAAACCACAAAAAGAAAATTTTCAAGGGCAAATTATTGTATAAAATGCACATGTGTTATATTTTCAACATGCATAAGTACAGTAAACATTTCTAACATTTATAATTGAAAGTGAAGGGCAGACACAAGTTTTTTTTTTTTTTGTAATTCCCGAAATTCCGGAGTTTTTAATGGGAATTGCACCTATGCCATATTATTAAACCTACATTATATTTGAGAAAAGCAAATAAGTACAAAATTTGAAGCCATTTTTAAGAAAATCTTGTTCCAGATATTTTGTACATTGTTACTATTTCACTGAAAATTACGTGAAAATTTCTATTTTAAAGAAAAAAGACGAAACTACGTTTTGAAAAATAACCACTTTTCGGTAACAGGGACCCCCAAAATTTCCGTCGAACTCTAGACATCGATGTTTATTCAGAATTACAGGACTTTCTCTATAGTTATCTCTTTTCATCTACCTTATTCTATTTACTCATCCCTATTCAAATTATATATTCAGTATACAAATGGTTGGTTCAAACCAAATGAGATTATTTTTACAGGTTCGATAGCTAAGCCTTTCCGAAGACCGCATCGCTCCGTGAAATGTATATTTTTCTGCCATTTTGCTTGGATTTATTAATTGGTGATTCCGGGTGCGTTATTAGTTCCGTAAGTGTAGTGTACCGCGGAAGGTGGCGATGATCCCCCGGTGGAGGGACCGGCCTACTACATGTCTCGTGGGATTCCCCTAACAGGCGTCTCGCTCCACTGGGACAAGCTCTAAGCTCCCGACATGTGTAGTAGTGTAGTGCTTGTAAGTGTGTGTGTAAGGGGTGAGGATAGGACAAGGAAGAAGAAAGATCGTGCGCGCGTCGTGGCCTGTTTGTTAGGCTACTGCTCCGAAAATAGCCTGGTGCTGATCGGAGAAACAACGGAAAACTACCGATCAACACAGCCGGCTCTAGAATTCTCCTACAGGCAGCGGCTGAATTCGCGCTAGCTATGTAGCTAGCGTCGGGACTCGAACCGTAGGATCTCAAGTATCTCTACGGTGACGGCAACAAATGCCCTGAGCCACATAAGCCTGTATTGCAGCCAAAAGCTAAAAGGCGTGAGCCAAAAGGCAAAGGCGTATGCTTCGTGGAGTACAAAGTTTGATCCTAAGGTTTCCAGAATCTCCCCACTACACCTCACGCTCTCACGAGCTTGGGAAGTGTTGAGATCAGCAACATGGCTGACCGCATACCCAAGGACAGTAGTGGGGAGATTCTGGAAACCTTAGGATCACACCTAAGTCAGTAGTTTATTACCGGGAGCGCCAGTTGATAATGCCTTGGAAGAATCAGTTCAGCGACTGCAATTAAGGGTTTGGAATGGTTTTCACGAGAGATTTAGTTCGTTCCGATGTCGTCCCTCTAAAGAACTTTTTAAGAATTGATTCAAATTATATGAGAATGAAATTGAGAGATTCAAAGATGTTGAACCTCTGAGGTAAATCGACGAATCAAACAGTTCTTTACTTTCATCACGCTTTTAACCAAAGTCGCGATAATAATTTAAAGAATAATCCATGAAAATATACAATATCTTCAAATATAAGCTTCAATGTGCATTCTTTTTCAATTTTAGGAACATAAACAATTTGCTTTCATGCGAACATTTTCTAGTTGGCGGAATGACAGAAATAACAGGAAATATCTCAGACCTAAAACAACTTTCGTTAAATGAATGAGAATTATTTCTAAATGTTACTCGACAACTACACTTTCTCATTTAACTTAGTATTTTGTATCAAAGAAATTGGTCTTATAACTGAACAAACTATCCTACTTATACGAAAAAGTAAAAATTGAAAGTACTTTTAAAATATTCTAATATAGTGTACTGTGAGGGTTTTCAATGCAAAATTAATGTTAAATGGTAAATTAAATTATTTTAAAATATTTCCAGGAGTACTGAGAAAATGTTTTGATGAAGATATTGTTTTATCCACCTTAAATTTGTGCCAAAAGTTTTTGTGTATTCATTTATTACAATTAAAACTGTGTTCACAAGAGCTAGAGAGCCCCAAGAGTATGAGAGGATATATCAAGCATTGTTATAACTGGCAATATTAGTAAATTAGTCTGCACTTCTTGTGATGAGTGCTGGTTTTATAACATCACCTCTGATTGTTCATATATTTATGGTTTTTAAATATTCGACAGCATCTCCTCCCCAGAGCAAATTGACAATTACCCTGAGTAGACAATGTCACATTTGAACATTGGCTACAATGGAACCCACTGCTTCATGAAACAATTGTAATAAAAAAGTATGATGAATAAAGTAGTCTACTAATTGTTAAAAAAAGAAAATTATTAATTTAATATTAGGATTGAAGATTTCACGTTCTGATTCTATGGCTTATATCTTTAAGTAATAATATAATGTTACTTTCATTTTGCTTAATTTTCAATACCAATTCTCATTTTTTTATATTTTAATATTTTTATCATACTCGTTATTTTACTTCTTTATTACTAATACATACTATTACTATTACATTTACGACTTTATTACTATTATGTACTTTATTTTACTATTATACTCGTTTTGTGTGTATACAGTGTTTTCTTTTTTGAAAACATTTAATTCATTTAATGGCAATGTTTTAAAAAATTTGAAATATTAGATTAATAATTGTTTTTGACAAAAAAATCGTAAAACAAGTAATCTGCTCTCCTCTAAATAAAAAGATAAGTATGCTATGGTTATGGTTGAATTGATATTAAAATTTCAGTGGAAAAATCACTGTTCACAACTGTAGATCCCAGTGGTTATAAAAAAATTGATTTAGCTGAAAATAAATAGTAAAACTAGACAAAGCAAATTTAGTTATGACAATCTTAATCGAGAATGTCAGGCATGTCTTGAAGAGTGTTACACATACTTAAAACAACACAAGTAGAAATGTATTTTTTTCGTTCACCCCCAATACCTCGAACTTTGCAAGATCGTGAACATTCGATGCCTCTTGGTTTGCGTTAAGTTTATTTAGGTGAACATTGAGATATATTCAAATATTTTTGAACACACGTTCTGAAAGACACTTTTTGCCAAGCGGTCGTGGCTTTCGGCCATAAAAATTAATCTACGTTCATCACTATGTTGTCGGCATCTGTTTTCATTTCATTTTCATCTTTTGAACATGTACATAAAATTCATTATTCAGGAAACAGAACTAAGGGAAAACTTAACGCTCATTAGGAAAAGTCGATTCTTAACGTTAATCTGTGAACTTGCGTTAGGCCTTCCATAGATAAAGTTATCTACCACTTAGCATATACTTTCTACATTTACTTGATTTTCTGTTGACAAATTTATCTGTTTCATGAATAAATTTTACACAGGAGAAAGTAAGACTCGTGTTACTAGGAACTCGAATGAGAACTCCGAAATTGGGTTCGACTTTATTTTTAATAATTTATAAATGAAGGCAACATGGCGTAGTGCTGTCGTTTTGTGATTGTGCAATGCAAGAAGATTCCCGTATCCACAAACCAACACTAGTCTCACTTCAAAAATTTGCATTGTTGTAGGTGTCAATTTCTCATTTAATGGCTGAAACGTGACATTCCGTGGCATCAGTGCAGTTCCATCTACAACTAGTGTAATAACGCGTTTTGCTTTGGATATTACGTAAGTTCAAAGAAATATTACATTAAATTCTCATACGCGCTGTTTAAAAAGTTTCAGTGACAAACTGGCCTGGTATCATATGTCTCCACAAAACTTGTGGGGCTGCCCGCACTCCAACCGCCGATTGCGAAGAGGATTTCGTAGGGGATGCGTGGACGAGCCACCGGATCGTTGAGGTCCACCTCTGAACCTCGCTTCGAATCCAGTTTGGCGAGGAATAATGATGCTGGGTACAAGCTGTTCTGCAAATCCTGTTACCAGAAAAAGGTTGTATGCTGAACGCAAAAAATCTAAAATTGAATCGGCCATTTTGGAAACAACGCAAATCTCTTGTAGAACGCTAAGGATTGTTTTCAGTTTCAATCAAACTTCCCTAGAGTGAGCTCGCGTTGCTTTCCAATGAATGGCGTCAAGAGTGGCTTTACATGTAATGTTATCTAGTGAAATAATTTACCTAACGTAACTATTAAGGGACCAGATGACTCATTCCAACATATTCAACTTTCAAGTCAGTATATTTTTTCATATTTTTAACAATTCTAAGCATTGTTCATTCATTATTTCTGAGATGAAATGTACATGAGTTACTTATAGGTTAGTGTAACTGATCTGTGCCTTACCGCGTTCTCGCAAATATAAGGATTACTCATGACAGATTCCGTAAAAAACTTGAAGCTCATGAGTCCGTATCTAGGACTGTGAATTAGTGTACCAAACCAGGGTCTTCTGAGATCGGGATCTGCATCAATCCATTTCGTAATGGAGTCAAACACTACTTCTTCGTGGGCTACATTGAGTTCGTCGTCGCTTAATATTGCATCAAGTTCTTCAGCTGTTAGATCGAAAAACTCTGTGCTTTGATCTAGAATGTTTTTGAAGTTATGTGCTATGTACCGTCTACCACGTTCTTCTAAAGCGCTGCAGAAATAAGGGCAAGCAAATCTAAAAATGCCTAAACAATTATCTGGACGCATTTCTTCGATCAAATAAGCACAGCACTGTTGAACGACTCCAAAAACGGCATAGCGATCAGATGCTGGCAGCAACTGCTGAACGTTATTTAAAGTCACATTGCAGCGTCCTGTGTATGCATAATCCAAAATTAATTCTAGTAATTCAGAACTTATGTCAACATTAACTTCATTTGTTTCAGATCTCGAACTTCGATGCGCAGCTGTGAAAAGGGCTTTGAAATGTGAACTAGCAGCAGATAACAGCGCCCTGTGCACATGGAGAGCTTTCCCATCACTACTGTGAATTATTCCATCGCAAAGTTGTTGCCGTAAACGAAGTTCGTTCCACACTCTTGGAAAATCGACGTGTCCGTGACTGGAAGGTGAACAAACGCATTTTCGGTATTTCAAAGCTTTCTTCTTTTTATTGTGCTTTGTTTTATTGCTCGTAGGAACTGCGGGTGGTGATCTATTTCTTGTTAATTTTCTATGTTTCATAGTCAAGTCCATTCCGGCATTTCAAATGCTCGTAAGCCACACGTTTCCGCGTTTCCTTAGTTTATTTCTCAGACAATGATATATTGTTAAGACAGTGTATTGTTAACCAGTTTAGGTTAGGGTTTTGAGATTGATCATAACAAGATTCTCAAGACGAATGTTTTAAAGTGATTTTGTGAGTAAATCTGTCAGAAGCACATAATGTTGAGATGAAGAAAATACATGTTGTTTTACGCAGTTTCAAGTGTTACTGTTTTTGACTTGTTTATGTTATTTTATACCAAATATTACTATTATTCGCGTATATTATTTGTGTATAATAAGCCAGAGAATCTCAGACTTGTATCCCGGCTTTCTATTTGATGTTTTACTATAAAAATGAGTTTGTTTCCTAAAATTTTCTACCGTATAATGTAAACGTTAAAAAACATTCACTTTTTACAAGAAAATTTTCGACTATAAAAATTAGTCGGCCGACTATTGACTACAAAAACTAGCCCTCAGAAATAAGAATTCATAATTCCCGAAAATATAATGATGTTTTAATGATTTTTTCTTGATATCCATTCAATGATGGACATTTTTTTAAAAGTTGGCCTTCCTGAAAACATGTTTTTAAAATGTCAGTCAACTCACCGAACTTTCCGTAACACGTGGATATTGCTGCACCACTTTCCAGAAATAATGTTCGTTCATTAGCCCGTAACGCGGACATGATATCAGTTGAGGCAAAAAGACTTTCCTTTCAGGAGCGTTCCAGGAAACCCATGCAGCCACAGCTTCGAAAACGGCTTCTTCACTTCTCACATTGAGATTATCATTCTCCAAGATGTTTCGGAGTTCGTATGCCGTTAATTCATAAAACTCTAAACTTTCTTGCCGAACATCATGAAATTTTTCCAAAATATATTTCTCAGCATCATTTTTTAGATCCGTACAACAGAAAAGACGAGCAAATTTTGAAATACCAAGACAGTTCTTTGAATTCATCGCACATCTGAGAAAATAACAGCATCTATCAACCACACCTAACACTTCATATCTATCTGCTGCAGATAAAAGGTCCTCAACATTAGCAGAAGATACGCGACAATGGCCTGTGTAAGCATAATCCAATATAGTTTCAAGGATATTTTTGGAAATGTCTACAGTTACTTCGGTTCTTTCTGGTCGACCACCTTGAAGAATATTTGTAAATACTGCCTTAAAATATGGACTTATTGCGGATAACAAAGCTCTGTGTACGCCGATTACTTCTCCATCAACTGTTCGTATTATGCCATCACATAATTGTTCACGTTTTCTCAAATGACACCATACTTTCCGATACGACGCATAACCATAAAGAGATGGCACACAGCCCCGTTGTGGTTTCAAGGGTTTCTTCCTAGGTCTTTTCATGTTAGAATTAAGCACTTTAGAAGAGATGCGCACTTTCTCTGTATTTTGCGATTTCATTGCGGTTCCTTTTTTTTAATTTCACACTTCGTTCTGCTCTCCTACTTGCGAGACACGATGCAGCGGGATTCCAATGTTCGTTTCTATGCAGCCGAAACAATTCAGAACTTTCTCGGTAGTTGCTATGTGATACAATGTACAAATTGGAATTGACAATATTTCTGACGAGAAGATTACTTGAAAATACTGTTATTTTAACCTGTTCTTCTGTTACTAATGTCATTCTGTATAAATCACGGGATTGTAAATAACAAATGCCCAGGTATACTATGCTTTCATGTGTTATTTCATATGTCTGCATGTGTAATAATTGACATGAAAAGATCGCTTGTATTTTGTGTTTGCGAGGATGTGCACTCAAATAGAGTGCACTGAAAAGTGATTTTCCAGGCCATTATCAAATTTTCTTGGTAATATTGACAAAGACATCCTTTTGTTTTTAAATAAAATCGAATCAGATTAGTTTATGGTTAACCTCAAAATGTCTCCAAAGATAGATGCAACTGCTATCACTCCTCATTATTACCCCAACAAGACTTAAAGATTTCTTTTTTACTTTTTGTGTCGTATTATTAAAGAATTAATTGATTAAACGATAAATTAAAATATATTGGCGTTTGTACTGCTCTACTATCAAAACCTTCCTGGCAATCGCTTTCTAAATATAGATATTAGAGAAATAAAATAATTCATGCTACAGAAGTAGTATTCAATAATTACTGCTTACCCGTGCGAGAACGCTCGCATGTTAATCCCAACCCTTTCCTTGTCCATTTCCCTATCGTTTCCATTAAGAAGAAAAGTTCTTAATGAAACGTGTTTATTTGTTAAAAATTTATAAATGTAATTTCGTACTTATACACTATCAAAAAATAAAAACACTGCAATTGACGTTAGAAATAAATTTTCAGTAAATGTTTGTTCATTATTATAGATATACATTCTTCGAACAACTCATACTTCCTTAAAAACATGAAGTTCTTTGACAGTTAGCTTTCCTTGACAGACACAAAAATTTTAGAAAAGGTTTTTACTGTTGAGAAAGCTAAGTTTTCCATGCCAAAATATAGGCTCGGGCAAGTACAACCCTACTCTTTGCAATATTATTTAACTTTCCTGGATTTGTGATGAGAAACAAGAGGGGTTTTGGAGGGGAAGAGCGCCAGCTTTCTCGGGCGCGAAAATTGAAAAATTATTTGTATACTAAAAGATATTGAATTATTTTCTGCGTTCTTACGTACCTTAAGAAAAGCAATTCAGAGCCAAAAAATAATAAAACGAATATTTTCACCGTTGCGTAATAAATACTCTTTTATTACAGTTAGAAAATATTCTGTATGCTTAAACTTCACTTCGGTACATGAGAATGTTGCTCAAACGATGTTTATGTATTGAATATCTTAGCGAACCGACACACTTTAATATCAGTGTACTATTTACAATATGCGTTCACTGGATATACAGACTTCCACATACCGCCAACATTTAAATCGTACGTGTGGACTTGTGGTCGTTGGCAGTTGTCGAATTACTTGCGCTATTCTTTCTGTAATTTTAAATTTGGTTGCTATTTTAAATTAATTCACGTAGTATTGTAGGCTAGCGCGTTTTGATTTTTGTTCTTCATTTATTTCAAGCTATTTTACTATAGTAATTCAAAAAGTTTGTTATTTGTGTTGTGCCACAGCATAAGTTTTTCCCTATTACCTCCGCGTGCCCATGCGAGAACTCTCGCATGTTAAATCCCACACCCTTCCCTATTCGTCTATTTCCATTCTAAGACGGAAAGTTGTTAACGAAACGTATATATTTGTTTAAAAATGTATAAAGGTAACTTCTATTGTACTAACACGATATATAATCAAACTTTAAAAAAGAATGCACTTGATTTGGAAAAGAAATTGTCACTAATGATTTAGGCAGTATTATCGAGAGATTTCTTGGAACAATTCACAACACTCCCTTAAAAATATTTGAAATAATTATTCAATATTCTTTGACTTTTCATGAAAGTCACTAAAATTTAAAAAAAAGCTTTTTACTCTTGAGAAAGCAATGTGACTGAACACGAAACTGACCGAATTTCTGCTGATAACGAAAATACTGGTACAGGTAAAACACAAACCAAACCTAAGAAGACACGTCTTCACTCTTCACTGTACACCCTCATCCCTTCAGAATTAGGTACACAGCACTTGTAGACCTCTGCAAAACATTAAATGAATGTTTTTACTGCATGCATAAGAAACCATCTTTATCGCTATCAAGCAATTATTAATAGTACTTCTAGTTGTTGCTGTGAGAGCAGATCTTGAATTTATAATTATGCAAATAAACCTCTTTAGTCTGCGCAAACCACGGTATACATAGAAAGTATAAACAGTATAAGATAGAGGAATCTAAACTTTCTAAGCGTGACGTCACAAAGATGGCTACCATCACCAAGGGTAGAAATGTAGGTGGTATTGGGAGTATTGATAAGTGCCAAACCAGTGGAAATTTAATATAATGTCCAAGAATATCTCATCCTGTATATTACAAAGTGAAGAACGTTTCTTTCAGGCCTTGGCCTCAAAACTTTTGTTTTTAAAACCCGAGAAGCTTTGTTTAGGAGTTATTTAACAAGATAACCGACTGAGTTAAGCGCGTTGCATTTGATATGAATATTTAGATTTTTTAAACAAATCCTTCACACTTTTAAAGTCAAAGTGCAATTCGTCACGTCTGCGTGAATTTTTCTTTCTTTAGAGACCTCGTTTATAAAGATCGGTTCACTGTGAGAGCCGCTAAAAGTATGCATACTACTGAAATAATATAGAAGACAATTTTCCCTCATTTCCGTTGAGTTGAATGTATTCAATAACTGTTTGTCTAACAACTCCGAAAAGAGCGAACGTAATGCTCGCCTTTTCAAGACCTAAATGTCAGTTCATCCTTTGTCAATTCAAATCACCATTTGACAAGAGAAGGTTCGTTTCCTTTTTGTTTAAGCATTGTTTCTCCATGAAATGAAAATTGACACTGACATTGAAACTTATATCTGTATGATGTATTTTGGAAAAGAAATAAATAGTCCTTTTTTCGTTTTCTTTCTTCATTCGTTTCTAGGATGCTATTCAACGTACGTTCAAAAATTGGGAACGGTATGTAAAATAATGCAAAATGAGTGAATATAAAAGCGATTCCCACAAAATGCAAGCCACGATTCGTTTCATACGCATTCTAATTAATTTCCCTAGTAAAAAGATTTTTCAATGGAAAATGTGGGCGAAAAGTGCCATAACGCATGTACTTCTCATAGTCAACATAGTTAAGTGCGCGACATGCGTTCCCTGCTGAAATAGATATTGTTTTCTTTATATTGGTTTTACATGAAATTTGGAGGGAGGAGGTACTAAAGTTATCTGATTTACTATCTTAGCACAATCTAAACATTATTATTGCTATTATTGTCTCTATTTGGAATAAGGCATATAACACTATATTTATTCATATCAGTCTGTCTGGAATTGAAAATTTTCAGAGGACTGAAACACTACTATTATGCTCTCAGTACTAAGAAACATGCTTGAGGGGCTCACACAGTGTTGTTCTGCCTCAGGCTCTGTGGGTGGCGCTGTGAGGTCGGAGGGCCTCCTCTTTCATTTATTTAACATCAATAAGCAGTCAAACTAGTGGTGCTACAACACTACGTATTTTCCCCCTTTGTAACGGATGCGTAATATTAAAATACTTAACCGACATTTTGCCGTTAACCAATTTTCGCTATCAAGGACCCACAAAACTTGGCCTCTGACTACATGTGTTATTTACTTAGGAACAAGATTTACACACTTTTCGGTATCAGGAACCTACAATACTCCTTTTTCTGCTGACAAATCTTACGTTTTCGCCGCAGCTTTACATAACGGTGTAAGTAGTATGGTAGAAAAAAAACGTGGTGTTGCAAAATGGCACAGACTTTCTCGTATTAGTTGGTTTCCTAATCTTCTTAGGGCTTTTTTTACGAGGGTATGCGGAAATCTTCAAAAGACGTGTGCCCTACCACATGAGTGTGTGAGATTTGTTTCTCACTGAAACCACCTCTTTAGGCTTATTCCCACGACTTCTCCCTATAAGCCAGCATTCCCCTTATGATGTTCTCGGTCAGAAGTTGTGGCCGGGTTGCCGGCAGAGATGTGTCCTCTCTCCTTCGAATCGAGGGCAGACAAAGACAATTTCGTCAGGGACAGCTTATTGGTTTTGCTCTCCCTTCCCTCTAGCTGCTATCTATCGGTGTTTAAAGATATTTTTTGACGTTTTCTTAACTTTTCGGTACTCAAATAGTTGAATTGAAATATGACTTTAAGAATATTATGGAAGAGTAAAATCTGGTACTATATGCACAATTTTCAGTGAAAATTTCGAGAAAATGTCGTTCGAGACTTTCTGAAAATGCGAAATTCGAGCTCATTTTCCCAAAAAACATTTTTAGTTTTCGAAAAACTTAATACGAAATCATTTAAATCACTTGTATTCGCAAATGCAATAAGACATGAAAACGCTCGTAATGTAAATATTAACGACGAGAGAGATATGTCAAACAAAATATAATTTTGTAATTTTTGAAAAATCAAAAGAGTAAATTAAAAGAACGTGCATGCCATGCTTAAGTTTGTTCTTCGACAACTCCGCGAAGAGTTGTCGGTAAAATAATTACCCTCTCCCCCCATCACTTAATTTTTCCCTCTCCCATATAAAAAATTGGGAATACTGCACTTCCAGTAATGACTCTCATATTTTCTCTTAGAGTTACAATTGGACGATCCTCAGTATCAAAGATATTTTTAAGCATCTTGCAACTTCAACTCAACGCGACCCTCTATTAATAACATGTATTTCTGAAATCTCTCGAAAATAAAACTGCAATCCCACCGAATGGTCGACTATCGTTTCTTAAATCCTGTAAACTCTTATTAAAAGCTTCATTGAGAACAGTGTATGCCATTGTACATTAGCGC